CTTCTCACCATCGTCTCTCTGAAAAGAAGAATGAACTTGAAGATCATTTATATGTAAACATAACAAACAGATTCTTCTTAAATTATATTAAGTTAAATTTTGAGTATCACATTTGTGTGGGCTGGATTATGTTCATAGTAGATTTACATCACATTACATATTAAAGGTTATACAGTATGTGTGCACGAATGTAAAACCGTGTCCAGGTAAATACTTTTTTAAATTGGCAGTGTGAGTGAAGTGTCGTGTAGTATTAAAAAATTTGTGTGTCCTCTAACATCCTGTGTGCTGATTTATTTGTAAAAGTCTTAATTTTCTAGTAAAATCAGAAGAAAGTGACGTCCATGCTCTGCTTGCATGCTGTGCCAACGGTGTGTAAGACCAGCCAACATTATTTTAGAACCAGAGCCCACTAACTTCAACTAACGACCATCTCCCACACAACACAGACTCCATCACAAACAAGACAAGAAAGAGAAGTATGCGAAGCCCGTTGTCTAATGACTTGTGATTGACAACTTCTTATGCAATGAAGATGTAGTTTTACACCAAAGTTAATCCTCAATTTCAAAATATGATCCAGAACAATCCCAAAAACTCAGGAGGACTTTTACAGACTTTGGCTCACAGACTTCTACAGGAAAAGAAGTCTTTTTGCAAACACAGGTATCACCATCTGTTAGCTAACATTAGCTTTCCTGCAAAAACAGACAAACTGCAAGCTACATATTGTAGCGAAACACTATCTTAAATAGATAATGCTAGCTAATTTTTTTAAACCCCTAGAACTGCTCTGGATGATAAATTAACCCGTCACTATCAGCAAAGGTTTACGAACTAACCAGAGTCAGAGTCATGCAGCATAATTGGTTAACCTTAAAATGTTGCTAACTAATGCTACTGCTAAAACACATTGACTAGAAATGTTGGCTGGCTAGCTTGCCAAAGTGCTTCCTTAACACGTCATGCTAACTCACGTATTATATCAAATTGTGTTCATGTCATCATGAAATGATGTGATTGTGCAAAGACTCACCCTGTGGATTAAATCTTGGGCTGTATGTGACATAAGGATGCGATCACACCAGGCAGGACAGCGAGTGTTCATGTACTGGGTTGGTTTAGCATGCTCTTCACTGTATGGGTAGCTGAGCACAAGACAAGAGGGGAACAAATTCTTAAAGCATGAAAAGTAAATGGCAGAAATTTGCAGCAAGTAGCAGAGTTACAGACCTTGGTGGAAACTTGATGTCCTCTTCCCTAATAACATCATGGAAGGCTGCAACTTCTTTGTCATACTTCAAAAGCTGAGCGACAGAAGCCATTATGGTTACAAATGACTACAAACGTCAACACATGAAAAACAAGCATGATGTGAGCGAGTGCAGATTTAACATGGGGGATAATTTGGGTTACTGCTACTAATGTTTCTCCCTTTTTGTGTTTACTGTGCTGTCATTTCTTTGAAGTATTCCTGCTGATGGAATCTAAAATCTAATCTAATCTAAAATCTCTGAAGACAGGTCAAACTAAGTTTCCCCTGAGTTTCTCAGTAGTGCAACTGATGATATCTTTATGGGTGAAAGGTGAGCTTGTGTTCTTACTGCTCTGCCATTGTCCTCTCTGAAAACCGCCTGGTGCAGGTAGGCGAAAAGCTTCTCCTCAATTCGAAGCAGAACCTAGAGGTGAAAAGGAGGCAGAGAAAGTAACTTTTGAAGCAGATAATTCTGGCTTTTCTTTTTTTAAACGAGATTCTCTCGTTTCAATCACCTGGTGGTCGTTATCCTTTTCTTCATATATGATTCTCTGCACTTCGTTACTGCTGTCCTTCTTCACCATCTGCACATCGGCAGCAGTGGACAAATCCTGGTCAAAAAACACAAACGAGAGGGTTTATGTCAAAATTACAGACTGGTACATGATTGCAACACTTGAACTTTAGGGAAAATGAATGCTCTTGCATACCTGGACCAGACTAAGTGTATCCAGACGGAAGTTGAAATCTCCAAACACAAAGAAAGGCAGCACAGTTTGCCGACTGTCTGATATCCTGGAAAAATAAAAATACTACCTTAAGCCATAACACAGGGTTTTAATTCTTAATCCCAATGTACTTTGTATGTGTTGATTCTGTTAAAATGCTAATTCACTGGATAAGAGGAGCTACATGATAGCACATTTTGAATATTATGTTTTCATACAGTAGCGTGCAGCTGCTAGTCTCACCTGCTGATGACATATCTGAGAGCGTTATTGCGGTTGGCTGAGTAAATGGAAGGACTGGAGTTGCAGGCAATGAGGTTAGAGGCATCATGGAACAGGTGGACATTTACCAGGTCTAGACCTCTGTGAAAACACCCCCGACACACACAGGCAAAAGAAGGTGAGTTGTGGCAGATGGAGGGGAAAAAAACAGGAAACAATCCGATAACTCCAAAGCCTGACATCAGATAGGTGTGTATGTGAGTCTGTGTGTGAAATAACAGGTGTCATTTACAGGAGCTTTCTTATCAATGAGCACACTTGGGTTAATGTTCAGTCTACAAACAAGTGCAGTTCACTGGCTCCTTTTCTTAGGCTGTCACCAGAAAGCAATTAATGAGCATCTCACAAATGAGCTGTGTTGACTCACAGTATGATGCTGTGGTACATTAGATTTTGAGCTCCTGTTGTTCCAGTCCCAAGGTAACAACACAGCAGAGCAAATACTGACTACTACTATGAAATTAAAACCCTGCTCACCATCCTATAACATGCCGAGTCTAAGCTCCCAACAGAGCACCACATTAAATTAATTATTTATATTCTGTGAGTGTAACCAGTGAAGTAAAGAGGACATTTTTGTCAAAACAAAACCCAGAAGATATTAATAACTGGATGATAAGAAACCACAAGGTCATCAGAGCAGCTGAATGTGAGCCTCACTGTTTGTTTTATATCAGCTTTGATAGATCAAAGTAGGTTTTAAATGTCCTCTTAGATGTTTACTGAGTAAAATTTTATTTGCTTGTCTTCAAGGAACTACAATATTTGACCTTCAGTTTACTGAGGGATGCCAAAGCATGCTTTAAAAACAAGTATGACATAGTGGCTAACAGTTGCTTTAACTCCAGCAGTTATGGTTCCATATTGTAGGAGCTTAAACATACTGATACCATAATACTGTAAAAGATGGACAAAGCCAATGTGGACATACCAAATATGATTTAATAACATTTTTTTTTAAAATTATTATCAAAGGTTAGGTCCTATCAGTGAAATGTATACCCAGCCCTCTGATGTGATGTCTTATCTGAACATTGACCCATGGGACATTTTTTTATTTATTTAACTTTGACAGTCAGTCAAGGACTTTGGGCTCATAACAATCTTTTACGCTGCTTTTCCAATCATTTAAAAACAGGCTACATATTTGTTCCCAAGGGTGTTTTTATTGTAAATGTATTTTTCCAAAAACGTCACCAAACAGCCACACATGAAAGTGTGTTCAACCCTGCTGGTGCATCACCGTGAAGGTGAGTGTTTGTTACGTACTGGTTGTGTATAATCCAGCGGGTCCTCATGAAGCCCTTTCTGGACCACTTGAACTGCAACAGAGGAAAAACTGGAGTGAGTCACTAAACAGCAGTGAGCTGTGTCTTTAAAGGGCTAAATTGATAATTATTGATTCTTGCACATAATTTGTCTCATCACCCTGTCAGAGCAGGCAGACGGCCCCCCGAAAGCCCCAGTAGACTCATTTGTCCCAACATCTCCTTTGGCCCATGTTTGCCCCTCCCGACAGGCATACCCAGATGCACAGTCATGCATACATACTCACATCAGGCCAGAAATTCTTTGGGAATTTTTCTTTCTCCACGGTGGTGACCCTGTCCAGAGAGCCCATATACCTGTTCTTTTCCAGCACTGCTTTAAAATTCTTAACTGTGAGAGGCAGAGCCAAGGAGGTGACATGTAAAAGAGTGAGAAAACATGCAAACAGCAATCAATAAACTGGTGTTAACCTCATCAGAGGGGCATACATGATGAGCAAATCTATAAGCGGGCCATTAGACTGTGTTCGGCGAACAACAATCGTTTCGGGCCACGCAGCGAGTGGCAGCTTCGGGATGTTTATGGTCCTTCCATAAGCTTTTCTGAGGAGCTTTTTCACATCTAACGTGACTGGACTATGCAACAGCAAAATAGCCGCTCCACTTTAAATTCGAGTTCTTTGCAAATAGGAGACGTAGCCTTCAAACTGCCAGCACAGTTTGCCAGAGAAATGTCCAACAATTAAACACCGACAAGGATTTTGCAACAGCACAACCGACTGCACCAAAGGAGGGAGGATTCTATCAAAACAATGCATTGAGTAATAACCATTGGTGCGTTCCAACACGTTGTTTGGAAAATAAACTAAATTTAGCACAACATGATGAATGATGAAATAGGAAATCCATGTAAGCGTTGTGTTTTTTTTACCATGAAAGTCATACTGTTGTATATTTTTCAGTGTCTTGTGGATGAAGTACATGCTCCCCAAAGCCTGTGGATAGAAAAGATATAGCAGTTACAATCAGTTTTAGGTAAACCACTTCAAAATCATGTCCACAAAATCATAGTGAAACTGGACTTTTAATCGTTCTGCAGAGGCTTTTGGTTTCATTCATCCTCTTCAAAGAAAGCAAGAACACATGGTATGCTTTGTGCATTGGGAATGTATGACACAGTGCATTGTTACTCTCCAAAGAGATGGCAAACTTTAAGTAATAAAGTATTTCCAAGAGGACGTATAACTGCACAGCACATCCACGCGCTGCTTCTGAGACACGCACACTTCAGTACCCAATCATCCCTGACGTGGGGCTGACAATTTTTAATGTACTAACTGCCTGCTCCACTGATCTGATTAATCGCGGCCCGTGAAATCAATAAAGACAGAAAATTAAAACCATTTAAAAGGTATTAAGCAGTGAGCCCGCTGTCTGCCAACACCGCTGCTGCAAACTGGGAGCTGAAGAAAAATCAGCCGGCACTCAAGAGGGCTCAGGGCGTGACAGACCGCGGTGACAGACACCCCCCAAACACACACACACACACACACACAAATCCAGCGGCTACATGAGAAATTTCTCCCTGAAGAATTCATTTATCTTCAGTGCCAAAGTTGTCCACAATAAATAAAATTAGATATGTCTCCGTGTTTGTCTGCGAACTGCAGTTGGTGACCAACTTGTCTGAATGAAGATTTAAGCAATGAGTTATTTAACCGAGTCTGAAATTGTCCTTAACTTGTATAGCAGCTTGTAGACTCAGGAAGGAAGTCAGATCCCACTGAAGTTATGTTGGCACTTTTTTCACAAAATTGGGACATTAGAAATGTACTCTAACAATTCATAAAACATGAGATGGCCAACCCTTTTCGCTTTGTTTATGCTAGATTAGTAACAATGTTATATACTGTAAAGTATGTGCACACACGTCGGCGCACACAGAGGCACATTTCCCTCCTCGTTTTCCTCCACATACTCTGCCAAACACCTATCTTCATCAATCAGGTTTGTGCACAGTTTAATAAAAAAATATTGACTTACAAGTGATTTTTTATCAAAACACCATTTGTACTGGGAATTCATGCAAGTCTTCCCCCTCTGCTTCTGCAACCCCTCTGAAAAGAGAACCCACCACCCCTCCCCAAATTCTCTCATGGCCGTATAACTGATGATCGCAGCCAAAGGGAAACAAATTGAAAATCAATGCAGGTGGCACCGACGAAATGAGAATGAGGCATTAGGTGGGGTGGGGTGGCTGCAACCCTCCCAGGGCAAACAGCGGAGGGTGCAAACACTCAAGTGCAGAGGAAACTTAGTCCCGGCTGTCTTCTGCCCCCAACACACTTTATTTATTGTGTACAAATAGGCTGGGATCAATAGTTTTAATCTAGAGTTAAATGTATTGACTTTGGCCTGTCTCTACTCTCACCTGGCCATTGAGTTTCCCCTTTTTTACTTCACGCACCTTCAGTCTACAGATGCAGCCATTGACCCCTACTGTCAAATGTTCAGCGTGAGGGTATCACCTGGGAGGAGTGTGGGTTAATACTTTAAAAAACACTCTACTGTGCAAAAGTCTTGAGCTGACTGTCCTTTCTTTCCGTTTTGCTAAGAAAGTGGGAAAAAGGCACTGCGATTTATTGAAAAATGTGCAAACATGCATGGAAAAAACAGGTTGAACAATTCAAACAGCTTGAAAGTGAATATTTGGTGTGAGCGCCTCTATTCTTCAGTACAGCCTGAACTCTCTTAGACAAGCTTTCTTGTGTTTTTTTTTTTTTTTTTAGGTAGTTTTCAGGAATAGTTTTTCAGGCTTCTTGAAGGACATTCAAAGCTCTTCTTTGGATGTTGGCTGCCTTTTGTTTTGCTCTCTGTCAAGATGATCTCACACTGCTTCAGTAATGCAGAAGCCCAAAATCTGTCCAATACCACTGGCCAAAATGCAGTTCCAGCCTCCCCCTGGTTTACAGATGCAGTAGACACTCACTATTGTTCTTCTCTCCTGACCTCTGTACATACTGACATATCCATTTGAAGCAAGGTAAGGTCTTTACCTTACAATATATGGGCTTTGAGGCAACTCTTGTTGTGATTTAGAGCTATATAAATAACATTAAATGATTTGACTTTCAGATGCTGTTGATCTGCTGTATATAGATTTTTTGCCTGACTCTTCAGTTTCCTCTCTACAAAGTATGCCGAGACATGTTTTTGGCTCACAGCTTTTTCGGACTCAACTTGTTGATACAAAAATAGAAACAAATAGTATGATTGCAACAGGCTGCTAGTAACAAAGTGCCTAAAGTTACAATTTAAAACTGGTTCTTTGCTAAGCTGTCCATAACACGGGCTTATCCCTTGAATTTCATGGCTTTTTAAAATCTTGAATGATTCATAGGCGAGTGTTAAGAAGCATAACAAAAAAACAAAACAAAAACATTGCCCTGACTGGCCTGAAAATAAGCAAAAAAGCAGCCAGTGGTTAAAGAAAAACTTTAAAAGCTCGTCAGAAAACCTGGAGAACTATTGCTCAAACAACTTTTAAAAAATTACAAGAAAGTCTGGTTCCTCGAAAGTGAAATAAAAAAAATGAGGGGTGAGTCACAACTTTTGCACTTCCAGCTAGGGGCAAAATTTCTAGGAAACTAATACTGTTGAACCAGTTAAGAGCCACTGTGAACTTTAAGAAATCATTTTCATTACTTTCTAAGAAAGATATTAAAAACTTGTTTGTATTACATGAGGACAATAAAAACGAAGGTGCATACAGAAAACGTCTTTCATAAAAGGTGTGGACGATGAGGCTTAATCTGTGACTGAACAGCATTCCAGCGAAAGACCAAGGATTCAGCTCATGACATTAAGAAATGCCGGGAGCAGCATGAGATTTAACAGACCTGTCTTTAAGAGCACCTCCTCTCCCTGTGCTCATATTGCGCAACAGCTTTAGCGCTGTTTTGTGCTTCATCTTTGAGATCAATGTCACTTACACAAGGCTGTTGTTGTTTTGCACATCTAACATTCTGCAGTGAACTGAAAACTGACTCCAGCTAGGAAGTACTACTATAGTATGTTCAGATTTCAGCAGATTTTATTTGCAATGTCCTGATCTTTAACATGATGATCAGAATAACAGTTAGACTCACAGAAAAGTCTGTTTGGGCAGTCTGTGGCAACCAGTGTTGGTCAAGTTACTTGAAAATAGTAATTAGTTAATAATGACTAATTACTTGTCCAAGAAAGCAATCCTGTTACTTTACTGGTTACTTATTTTCAATAGTAATTAGTTACTTTATTACTTAGTTACTTTTAAAAAACATGACACACAACCTGAATATGTAATAACACAATAGACCTTTTCACCCTAATTCTATTTTTTCTGCATAATCCATCATGTAAAATTGAATCAAATGAAAAAGTCTCTTTTAAAGATTGTTTTAATCCTTTAATTTCATGCACATTGCATCAAGCAAAAATGCAATTATATGCAACTGTCTTTAACATTTAAACCTATTTTCTGCATATTGCAGCATAGACACTAAAATAATGTTTTGTGTTTACACTCACACTTTTAAATAGATGCCAGTAAAACACAGCAAAAAATAAATAAAATCAAAGATTGCAATGCAATCTGGAGTCAGTAAGCACGTTTTTTGTTTCACTGTGTTGCGTCACTCTCAGAAACTTCTGATTTTCCCCAGCAGAGTGCATTGAATGCATCCACTTATCATTGTGCATTAACATGTAAGAGAACTCCATCTAGTGGAAACACACAGCAACTACTCTGTATGAGACGTTTTTGTGTTTCTTACCGTGAAGCTATCTTCTACTTTGAACTGGTTGTCCACATAAATGCAAGACCTGTCAAAGTCTTTCATTTCTTCACTGGACTCGAGGGTCCTGGTAACAGCAGAGCAAAAAAGTATGATCACTGCACTGGAGGTTTCTTTGTATACAGATCTAACGAACTAAGAGTCTTCTGACTACAACTATACAACCATCAATTAATGTTATGTTTTTAAATAAAGATGTAATGACTTGACTGGTTCTCGCTTCTTGAATGACATCAAACCGTAGATGGTTTTCATTTTTTTGACACATTATAAGGAACTGTTTAATTGACAACAATGAATCAATGGAAATGGCGAAATGCATTATAATCAGCATATTAATCCTACCAGAAGAAGTTTTCTGCATGGCCCATGTTTAACATGTAGTCCTTTCCTCCAACCTCCTGGAAGTGCAGGGCAATGAACTGTGGCTTGTAGCTCTGGATAGTCTGTTATAAAGCAAAGCAAACAGTCTCAGTGCAACGTACATGCGTACACTAAAGAGCACTGAGGGGTGTAGAAGGTCAATAATGATTGTTACAGGATGAAGGCAACTGTCCTTTAGAGAAGGGCTGGTAATGCTATCAGTTTAAGTAGTACTGGATTGCACCGATGACGCACATGCATGCACACGGCCGAGTTGTAGTTCCTTCCGTAAATCTATGTAACCACATCAGACTGACTTCATGAAACCATATGTCTCTCACATCTCTTACTGCCTATCCCTTTTCATCTGCTATACATCATCATCCTCACATGTCGCTGCTTGAAGGATGTAATTTCTTAACATAAAACCTCTTCGAAACATTAGCGTTTTCCACAGAATGTTCCTGCAAATGTTTCATAATATAATCCAGTTTAAAAAATTAAAGATTTCTCTCTAGGGAAGACTCTTAATTTGAAATAGAAGATACACAAAGTATGTCCAATGTGTGGGCAATGCAAATCAATTAGCACATCTTAAATATTTGACCATTCAGTTTGTCTCGGTTGGTCTTTTAATTGTGATTTTTGAATTTCAACACTACATCTATGAATGGAGGCCAGGTGAAGGTTTACTATTACTGACTATCGGT